TTCTACATACAAAATACGGACATCCACGAAAATTTTAAAATTTTAAACCAATTTGTAGGTTATATAAAAATTAAATTTTTTTGTTTTTAAATAGCTAAAATTCGACAAAATTGTTGACTTTGACCAGCTATAACTATATCTATGAGTTTATGAATTTACAAGAATAAGTCCCAATATTAAGTTTTTCAAACCCCGGTAGCGACACTTATGGGTATTTAGGAGCAAAGGAGCGGAGGTATTGAATTGTATTCATACTACAGCTTCTTTTGAAAGCACAATTGCGAATTTCACATGAACAAATATTCCCAAAAATTATAAAGCAAAACAAAAACAATTTTTCCCAATTTGTTCTTGTTTTGCATGTTAAATTATGGGAACAATTTATTCACATGGCATTTTATTCAAAGCAATAACTTTTGCTTACAGTGCAGGCGGTAGCTCCAGAGGATTGGAACTATACCTTAAATGTCGCATGATTGAGGTTTACTAAACTTAGCAACATTGCAGTTTTTAATTTCAAATACACAGCTTGTTTACAAACACTTGCTGGTTGCCGTTACTGTCAATTCTACAGCAACTGACGATAGTTGTTAATCGTAATAAAAATTCTCTTTTCAGTTGCGTTACCAACTGGCAACAAAACCTTTTTTTTTTGGTAATTTTGAAATTTTCGTGGATGTCTTTATTTTGTACGTCTGTAGATGAAAATAATGGGGGCGCCATGCCAAACTTAGCTGTTGATATTTTAAGGACCACCCTAACGAGTATATGTAGTTGAATTTATTTTACGTACTACGCTATTTAATTTGAATAGATATATGTATGTACATATGTATTTATTGCTTAAGAAATGACAAACAGCCAACCAAACAAGGAATTAAAATCCCAAAATCCGCTCAAAAAGCAACCATGAATAACGGATGATGTAAGCATATATAAGACAAACAAATAAACATTCAATGTAATTCATCGAAGCTAGTCCTTATAAATTTTTAAGTTTTATAGTTTAATGTTTATGTTTACACCTGCTTAGCTGTATTTATTTGTATGTATGTATGCGTAGAGGTACATAATTAATTTCTATCCATAAAGCAGGCAAAAAGGCAATTTAAAAACTTTAAAATGTACATACGTATTGAATATTTTTGAATGTGATATGTATTTAATTTGTAATATTCCTTAGTTACATATGTTTTTTAAAAATATACTAAATGATATTAAGGCTAACTTATTAATAAATGAAATCAACAACTTCGGTTTAAGACAACACTTAACTATAATTTTTACTAATTTAAGTAAGATTTTATCATTTGCAAATGCACTTTTATCCAAATGACGAATATTTAACAAATTTTTTAAGCGACCTAGAACAGGACTTAGGCCTGGTCGAGTAATATGCCAAACTATGTTTAGAAATCTCTGCATATCTCTGGATGAAATTGTTGATTTTTTAAATTTTTGTACAAAGTTTGCAACTAAGATTTTTACGGTTTTTGATATAGAATAAATTTTATTTTTATTAAAATATAATTTAAATTAAATATCTAACAAAAAATAAGTATCTGGTCAAAACTTGTAGATATGTGGGTGTCGTATAGTTATGATAAGCACTATATATTTTAGAAATACATATGTATAGCAGCATGCAATTCAAAACGGAATAATTTTTTTCTCGAACTAGGAAAGTTTCGAATTGCCCTACACCTATCATTTCTATTATAACTTAAACTCTCTTTTGAAGTAATGAAGGAAATAGAAACGTGTTCCCAAAAAAATTGTGGGAAAAATTTCTCTTGAAGTGAACAAAAAAAAACAAAACAACATTTTCAGACCGTTAGAAAATTTGTAAACATGGTTTCGTGAATTATTCGACCGTACTTGCGATTAATACTAGGTCACTCGAAAAGTTCATTTTTACACTAACACAAAGTTATTTTTAGTATCAGTCCAAACCGAGAAGGGGAAGATTTGGTAGTTTTGATTAATCTTTTTCTCCCTTTTTTTAATACCGAAAAGCTGCCATAATGCATTTTCAGTCTGAAACTGGAATTTCTACATATTTTTTAAAGTTAATGTATAGTTTTGGTCCCGGCCAACATCGCTTAGGCGGTTTCAGCGCCAATAAAGAAGAAGAATGTATAGTTTGGTTAAATTAATGCGTCGTAAAGGGCTTTTAAATTGGGACAAGCCGAAGTTAGCGCCCTGTGGCGACCATCTTGTTTTGGCGGCCTGTGTCTAACCTGTCGTATATTATTGTATTCCATCACTTATTGGCTGCTTTTCGATTAGTGTTATCAGTTTTTGGGTATCTCCTTTAGTTCCGAAGATATTGACTAATAATTATCATAAACAGTAGAAAAAACAACGTCATTGCGAGTGTCGTGTCGATTGCAAGTCGTTTTTGAGATTCGAGTCGTATCGTGCATTAAATGAGAAAACTTGATAGCACTGGATAGTTTTCGACAATTTTCCGTCGTCTATTTATTTCGGCACGACAATAGACAATGCCAATGTTGTCGAGTCGTGCATTTTCATTTTAGTCTAATTTACGACGTACGCAATGAGGCTATGAAATAATTTAAGAATTTCGTGAACTAGAAACATTCTTCGGGACTTTGGGGAAAATCTATATGTATATATCGATATGTATATTTCTTCCTTGTTTGAGTTTTTTCAGCTCAGCGAACATATTGGAAACTACTAAACAACAGGAAACC